TTTTCTTCTTTTGAGTAGCAGTTAAAAATTTATTCTTATTTCGTAAATTGGGGGACCGTCGTGCAGCTTCTAATTCCTTTGTTTGTCGAAAACTTACAATATTGCTAAATACTGATTGGTTGTTCAGAATAGCTGAGGAGTCGCGTTCAACAAAAGAACCCGTACCTCAACCCTCTCAGTTTAGATTTCATTTTGTTTGGAATACAATCACAATAAGGGGCGTATGGGTTTTTGTTATAAGTCAGGCGACTGAGCCCAGACAGATTTTGAGGTTTAAAGAAAATCTGGTGTCGTGTTAACGTCACCAGAAGAAAAACCTAACCAGAACTAGGACCACGTAGAAGAATTTGGGAGTAGGACCAGTCGGTGTTTGCAATGATTCTGATAGAATCTATGCAAAAATTTTTTTCCATTAGAAGTACAAGGGAATATTCGCTCAAAGGATTGACAGGATACAACTTTGTGATCACTACCTGGAAATTCAAGACTAGTGTATTCATTATATGTTGAGGCATCGTGTATGAAAATTAAGTCTAAGAGGTTAGTATTTCTGGTAGGCTTGTTGGCCATCTATGTCCAACTGTTCGGTACATTTTGTATCTATCTACACACAGTGTTGAATAAGAAATATCAGGTGGGCACTAGGATTCAGTAACTAGAATGCAGAATAGATTGATCATGTGAGTTAGAGATTTAAGATTAGCCATCTTACTTCAGAGTGAGCTTGAATGAAATAACATAGTGGAAATTTGTGAATAGAACATGAATTTGGATAAATCACCAATCAACCTAGTGAGTCAGGAGTTGTTTTGTTCAACGATTATGCGTCTGAGGTTTGCGTTGAGCTCTTCACAATCAATCACTGACCCTCGGTTAAGAGATGTGGTAGGCGTTATATTGGACATGGATGGTTTATTTTTAAGATCCACATGAATAGGCATGGTAGGGCACGACGAGTCAGTGAATGATGTATCTGATAACTGGTAAGAAGGGTCAGTCATGGAGCTTTTACAACTGAGAGGGAGTGCTAGTGACGGTTTAAAGTGACTAAATGTTCGTTCTTTGGTGGCTCATTTTACTGATATCATGGATTGGAGGGGACTGCATGAAATTAGCTGGTGAAGTTGTTTTGAAGAGTTTACTCAGAAGGGGGTGGGAATACTCTCTGATCGGAACTGCACTAAAGAAGTGAGTTTGTATTTTGCATGTGGTTTAAAATGACTACTAGTCTGATTTCCTCTATCGGCAGAAAGATAGGTACCCACCAGCATGAAAAGCTCTCTTCAGGAGCTGGCACTGAAGTGGATGATATACCTGTTGGTTCATTCGTATCTCCTATAGGTCTTGTTGAAGGGATGAGGTGTCAGTTGAAAGATTTATACAGGAGTAAAGCGTTATGGCATTCAAACTTTTATTGAGAAGAGATCAGACAGAGTATAGAGAAATATGAGGGAACTTTTTCCCCTCGTAAGTACTCCACATTCATTGCCACACGCTAGTTTACGTTTTACGTCCAGAACACAGTGATCAATGCCGTAGAATCCCCTGGAGAAGTTGAGGAAGTTTATGCGGACAGGACAGTTGTACATAGTGTAGTAGTTTTACGTCTACCGGTTGTATTTTTTATATTAAGGCTACAATGTTATGATCACTACCTGTAAACTTTTTTTCAAATATACACAGTATTGGGGGTGAGGCCACTGGTAAGGACCAAGTCCACGGTATTTTGGTGTCTGGTAGGGCTGCTGACACTGAATCCACTGTCCTAGTTCTAGATACTCAAAAAATGATTTTTAACGTTTAGAAGCCTTGATTGGAAAACAAGAAATTTCAGGCATGTTGAATTCAGCACAAATTAAATTGCTTCTGAATGATGTTAGTGTGAATACCTCTGATAATACTACTGTTTAGCCTATCGACGCGTTAGGTTGACAGTAGATGAGGTCAAGCAGTATGGAAGTGGAATCCAAAGGCTTTAAGACGACTCAAGCCGATTCCTGTAGTTTTTTTAGTTCAGACTTATCACATAATAGTGTATTTAATCTAGAATGAGCGTAAATAAGGCATCATTCACCCAATCCTTTTAACCTACCACTACGATATAGGAAATAGTTATTAAGTGATGTACTTGGGTTGAAAATATTACTGTTAGTTCATGCTTTAGATATCATTGAATGTGATGGTTGATAAATTGGTGCAAACCGGGCTAAATCCGTCTTTTTATCACACACCGATCTAGCGTTGATAAGACACATATTAAACAGATGACCCACTAAGTTCAAATGGCTGGGAGTATCTCTATTAGAGTTTTCATAACCATCGCGTGTGTTATGTGGGTTTGAAATGAGGGATTGAATGTTCTTCAATAGCTCTGTGTTTTGAATCAGGTAGAGATAGTGTTATGTGTGGATAAGATGCATCGGGTTTGGATGATAAGGGTTTATGTTTGTGAGGTACTGAGTCGTCAGTCATAGGGGTAAGAGATTCGACCTTTTGGTAAGCTTGAAAGTTAGTGAAATTTCGTTTTTGCTAGAGTTACTTGCCATAATTTGAAGCTGGGTGAGTAAACAGCTTGCCTGGCTAAAATATAATATTTGAGTATATAGTTATTATAACGTATTAACCGAGTTAACACTAGGATCAGAGCCTATGCACATAGAACGTATGTCAGATATAAAGTGTTCATTTATAACGTAAGAACGTACTGGTCAGTGAAATATCCATATATGAATCAGTATAATCCAAAGATAAAAAGGCGTCAGTGTCAATCGCTGGGGGCCTATTCAAGGTATGTAGGAAACGAAGTCCACGATGTGTAAGAATTAAGTGGTAAGTTCCCGTCAAAAATATTTTCCTGGGACAAAGTGTGACCAATATACGAGACAGGATGATAATCTGAGAATAATACAGCCTGCAAAAGAACAAGTCGAAGGGTTTCTAAACCACATGAAAAAAATGTTACCACTTTCAAATTTAAAGGCAAGTTTACTTCAGTCACGTCTTCGTTCATACCATGCCCGGTACCACCTAGACCGAATAATAGTCCACCATGGATAACTAAAGAAGTCAAGAAACTTCCTAGACGTAGGAAGATACGCTGGAATATCTTCATCTCTACTGGCTTAGAACAGTACAGATCCAGTTATTGTAAGATTAGGAATGCTTATAAGGCGTTAACTAGTAATACTAGACGGTCATATGAAGAGCAATTGGTTAGAGATTGCAAATATATTTCGAAACGGTTATTCTCGTATGTAGAAAGGCGAACTCGGAGAAGCGATGGAATCCCATCACGTTTGGTACACGAAAATTCATTAATATTGGCAAGAAATGATATCGAAAAAACTGAAGCTTTATCGAAATATTTCGGTAAAGTATTTTCTATCAGTAAGGAGGAATAACCAACTATTCATTGTGATTTCGGAGGCTTGATGATAGTCTCTGTAGTTATTGAAGAAGGTGCTATCTTAAAACTACTTCGGCATCCCGAACCTGATAAGTCCAGTGAGCCTGATTATATTCATTCTAGGATTATGAAAGCCCCATCAGATGAAATTGCTGAACCTTTAGTAACACTGTTTGATATGTTCATGTGGCAGTCCAGATTGACCAAAGACTGAAAAGACGCGATAATTAGTCCGGTGTATAAGGCTGGGAGTAAAGATTCAGTTAGTAACCATAGACCCGTTAGCTTAACTAATGCAGTTGTAAAACTGACGGAAAAAGTTATTCGGAAGGCCGTTGTAAACTATGTAGAAGGACATTATCGTCTATCCAGGAAACAACATGGTTTTCGAAAGGGCCTATCATGTTTGACAAATCTTCTTACCGTAATAGAAAATTGGACCGAGGCAAAATATTGAAATATTCCTGCAGATATGATTTTCATAGATCTAAATAAAGCCTTTGATAAGTTCTCGCCCGTCCTGGACTTAAATTAATAATGAAAACTTTTGAAGTTCTTTATACGGTTACAGACTGGATAAGTGACTTTCTGCATGACAGGAGACATAGGGCAAGAGTAAATGGAGCTCTCTCATCGTGTAATCCTGTAAAATGTGGAGTTCCGAAAGACACAATCCTCGGTATTTCTTCTTTTTACTTTATGTAAATGAATCACCAACTGTGTCTAAGTCATTCGTTCTTTTCTTCGCCGATGACTTAAAGGTTTGGGGACTCGTATACATCATTTCAGATAGGTTATCATTACAGGATGATCTCAAGTCATTGGTTGCATGGATGGACGGGTGGTCAATAGAGGTGAATCCTAACAAGAGTATGGTGATGCAATTGAATAACCATGATGATTCGTATTACTACACAATATGTGGATTCGTGTTACCCAAAGTAAGAAACCATAAAAATGTAGGAGTCATACTAAGCAATGATCTCATAACTACCAGTCACTGTAAGGTTGGGTCGAGTCCAATACCGAGGGACTAAAATGGTAAAAAGTCTATCTGACCTACCTTATAAAGACAGACTGAGACTATTCAACTTATTTCTGTTATCTTACCGTAGAATACGGAGTGATCTAATATTGGCTTTGACTTTGGTATTAATATGTCTTATCTTTTCCTTCCATCTAGGAATGATCATTTGAGAGAACACTCTAAGAAAATTCAGAAACCGAGGTCAAACAGTCTACGTCTGGAGTTTCGTGTTTCGCACTGAGTAGTGAAGTACTGGAATTCTCTGTCAAAATGCGTAACATCAGCACATTCTGTGGATATACTCAAAACGAGATTGGAGATCCAACATGTTACAAACTGCAAGGATTAATAAAGGTCTACAGACCTCCTATCCTTATTACTGAAGACTGACAACAACCAGCAGTAACACAGGCACAACGGAAACAAAAATTATTGAATTAAGGCTTTGAACACGTCAAAGTGCACTCCTCTACATCTTTATTGGATTGGTAGACACTATGTTTTACACTTTAATTCACAACTGCATCTGTTTTACGTTATGAAAATTCATTACACAAGGACGTCATTCACATTTGAATTTTTGTTGATGGACCGTGCTCTGTCAGATTTAAGAGATTCGCTCGCTAATGATGACTTGGATACTCAACACAATCTAATAGTTAAAATCGAAAAGTTAGTACCCTAATTTTTCAAAGTTGGATATTATTTCTAATTATTAGAGTTCGAATGTATTTGAACATCATTATATATCATGACATCTTCAAACGAATCAGCCTGTATATTTACAAACATACAGAACTTCTGTTCAGTGTTATATTTTAACAAAAGTTCACTTAACTGGTTGTTTCTGTCCCAAATCTAAGGGTTTGAGTAGGTCGACGAACAGCATGATTAGGCTGTAGTGGTCAGCTGGTGTCATGCACCAGACCTCAACAGAAATACAGGATAGCTAGCATACCTACTTTAAAGTATGTAGCAAAGAATGTCGATCATCAATTATCTTCCGGGATAAAATGCATATTTTTTCGCAATCAGTGGTTATTTCATCTCATTCTAGTCCATCTTGACAATGTGGCACAAAAATGCTGTCCCTGAAATCACTTAATAAAGGGATAACATTAGTGTTTATTACCTATTGTAGTAAAAATACCCAGATTTCTTTTATACGTGTTTACTCTTAAGTAACCCAAGTATTAATGTCCTGAGGGCGACAATATGCGAGACCTCAGGTTCTTCAGTTACTCAAACGTTTCTGAGAAGTACGTCTGCCTAACTGCCAATAATGTTGATAGTAGTCAGATACTTAGTTTGTGTGAGCTATCAGCAAGTATTTCTACCGGTAATTTTGCATTTAGACCTGATTGTTCAAACCTAAACGGTGCCTGACTTGACCACTCGATGAGAAAAACGGGACCCCACCTTTAGTTTATTAGATCGCGGTTTCAGAACCTTCTTGCTATGACCTCGGAGATTATTAGTGCTGGAGGGAGCAAAAAGGTAAGACATATTAACACCCAGATCATAATTAAAGATACAAAATGCCAGTATAAGGTCACCTCGCGTCCTACGATAAGATAAGGGGAAAAGATTTAGACGTTTTAAACGCTCATCGTAAGGGAGTTTAGAAAGACCCTTTACTAATTTTGTCCCTACACGCTGGACACGCTCGAGCGATTTAGTATCCTTTATCAGACAAGGGCTAGTTGCTTGGATACAGTATTCTAAGTGTGGCCTTACATAGGTGGGATATAAAATTCGGAACATATCCTCGTCAAAGCATTTAAATGCTCTGCGAAGCGATCATAGCGCGCGATAGCCTTTGGAAGCAACCTTACTGCAGTGCGTAGTAGTTTTTAAGTCGTGACTTATAATTACTCCTAAGTCTTTATGCGCATGAACGCGTGGCAGAGATGTACCATTAATGGTATAGTGGTAACTAATATCGTGCCCGATGTGCATGAACACGCTCTTCCTGGAATTAACTTCCAGGCCCCAATCATGAGCCCACCTAACTAATTCGTCTAAATCTGCTTGTAGATAACAACGATCAGTCTCATTTCTTATTGTTCTCCAGATTTTAACATCATCCGCAAACAATAACGTCGACGACTTAAGTAATAAAGGTAGTTCATTAATATACAGAAGGAAAAGTAAAGGGCCCAAGATGGTGCCTTGGGGTACACCACTTTTGACCGGTTTCCATTCGGATAGAGTTCCATTGACTCTCACTCTCTGTCTGCGGTCACATAAGAAGCTTCCTATCCATTCCTGTATAGCACCTGTTATACCAAAGCTCGAGAGCTTTTGCATAAGACCTAAGTATGAAACCTTATCAAACGCTTTACTAAAATCTATAAATATCACGTCGACAGACTGGCCGTTGTCTAGGGCAGCTGTCCAATCCTCTCTCGCAATGAGTAAGTTAGTCAAGTATGAATGCTTGTTACGAAACCCATGTTGCTCGGGAGTTAACAGTTTGTGCGAATCTATGTGGCTCAGTAGCTTAGCCCGAATTAATTTTTCAAGTAACTTAACTACTATACTGGTCAGGCTAACAGACCGGTAGTTAGATACTATCCGTCTCTGACCATCCTTAAATATAGGACTAACTATGGCGTCTTTCCAGTCTCTAGGTAGTTGAGCCTGTGAAAGGGACATGTTGAAGAGCATCGTGAGCGGTCTTGAGATAATGTCCGCAAGCGACGACAGCAAACGTGGGTGTAACCCATCGGGGCCCGGTATCTTACAAGGTTTTAGGTTAGTTATCAAAGGAAGGACTATATCCTCTGTCACGTGTAAAGGTCCTATGGCTGGTATCTCATTGTCAACGGGACAAGTAGTTGTAACACTACACATAGAGTAGACTTCACTGAAATAGTTAGCAAATAACTCCGCTTTCGCTAGGTCAGATTCAGCCAATAAAGCTGAATTTTCGCTTAACAGTAATGAGGGGATACCATCACTACGTTTTGTCCGCCTTTTAACGTACGAAAACAGTCGCTTCGGACAGGTACGGCTATCGTATGCCAACTGTCGTTCGTAAGCCGTGCGGGATTTACATATATTCCGGATTTTTTTATATTCGCACTTAAATGATGCCTGACCTGTTGACAAGAATAAGTCCCAGAAGTGTTTCCTACGCTTCAACAGCTTCCGGGTTTCCTTATTAATCCATGGAGGGCAATATGATAACTTACGTGCTGACCATGGGATAAACGGTTGAGTTACGGATTCGAACGTAGACTTAAACCTATTCCATGCATCATCAATCGATCCATCAGCATCGACCGACCAGTCAATTGAGATAGCATAGTCCCTGATTGCCGGAATATTAGCTCTCCAGATATTAGGACGGGGTGGAGCTGATGCAAATTCTATACCATGTATCCGGAACTTAAAGGAAAGTACGACATGGTCACTATTCATCAGTGGGGGAAGATGTTGAATGTCAACGATATCTTCACAGTGGTGTGTGAGGACAAGGTCTATCAATGACGGATTATGTTCCAAGTCTATATGCGTCGGCTTAACGATACATTGTACAAGTGAACATTGAATAATTGATGACAGAAGGACGCTATCAAAACCCCCACCTGGAGCTGTGAGCTCTATCCAGTTTATATGAGGTGCATTGAAGTCTCCAACGATGAGACAACATTCTGCTTTACTCCAAGAACAGACGTGTTTTAGGATAAAGTCGTCAGCGAGACAACACGGACTACGATATATTCCTCCTATCGTCACTAACCCGTTTCTAGACCTAATTGTACAACATACTACCTCACACGTACCACTTACATGCGCCTCCGATATGATCGAGTTAATGCGGAAGTGGTCCCTAATATATAATATTATGCCTCCTCCCTTGCGACTTCTAACTCTATCACTTCTGACACAGATGTAGCCTGAAATGACTGGAGAACAGTCTATATCTACAGTGAGCCAAGTTTCGGTGATAACAATTATATCCGGATTTAAGTCGTCTACCATCAAACTTAGTTCAGACATCTTATTCCGAAGACTACGAGCATTCGTATAACACATATTTAGGGTGTTTTTGGAGACATGCGTTCTACCCACACAGGTCTCGGAAGCATTGGCTTCCAAGACCTGACTACCCGAAAACCCTTGATCGTAAGGTTCGCTTCACCGTTTAGCCTTCGAGTTTTTAACTCTGTTAGGGCATTCTTCCACTTGATCCGATCCTCAAGTGGCCAGTCAGGTCGAATACGAATGTTTGAGTCACGAGTTTTGCGTGAGTTATTTAGTAATACGTCCCTTTCCTCAAAATTACCGAGTACTAATTTGAGGATCCTTTTCTGTTGGGTTTCGCCTCCTGATGACTTTCGAGATATGTACCCCTGGGACCTCCTCTGGCAGTATATTTCTGATGAGAGATCCGACTAACTGCAGGTCGTGGGCATGTCTCTTAGCGGGATCGGTGTCTTTCGATTCTGCCAAGTTCCAGATGATTACACTAGGGACCTGTTTAACTGCCTTAAAAGTCGTGTTCACGGCCTTTGACCGTGAGAAGCTTGTCAGGTTGGTTTGTTTTCCTACCAGTGGTTGTTCTGATGTACTGTGGGTTATCTTAGGCATAATACTATCAATTAGCTCTTGTCAGTCATCACAGTTACCTAAGGTGGATTACTTCACTCCTATTGTTTGTAGTTAGTGAGAAAAAGTGAGTCATTTGCAAATAATCACCATAATGATATGCACGTTCACTTGGTCTTGTTTGTAATAATCACTTGTTGGAAAAACTTTTATTTTTGTAGTTGGAGTCGTGTTCGCATTGATGCCGAAAATGCCCAGTAACTTCTGTTTCTTCTAAACAATATTTTCTCAGGACAATTAACGATTGCCTTTACAACGTGCTGCCCATTTGTTATTCACATTCCTTCCATGAGTGTTCTGTAAGACTTTCAATGAGTATTTATTATTAATCCCAGTTATGTAATTCCGATAACTACATGACCTGGACTTCCCTTTTAGCTTCATTTCTTGACTCTAAAGTGTTGCTTCAGAAACATAACTCGCACAACAATTATGACTTGTTCAACTCAAAAGATCTTTGTATGGTGGAATACACACTTTCAGGTGAAACTATTTATCTTGTTGACGTACTTCTGCAAATGAACACCACTGCTCTTGTCCCCGAGTTTGGAGAGTTTGTAGCAAAGTAAACTCACCTTTATTTTATGTCTGTAGGCGAATATTTTCTCTAGACAAGTCGACCTATAAACGTCATGAGAATGCCATCAGAATTCTTATGCTTCATAAATGGCTAGATCTTAACTTTTCTCACGTCTTAAAGCCCACTTATGAGGTATGTACGATGAAAAAAATTATAGTAACAAAGCAACTGGGTAGATATTTAGATCCAAATTCCGTTTTGGACTGGATGGGTCTAAGAATTCGGACTAATATAAAAAAAAAACACTGGAGAGGTTGCACAGTAGCAGACAAAATACAGATACTTTTAAAATCTTTTGATCTGTCTACATTGGCAGCATTGCTTGGTCAGTCTACAACTTCTGATGGTGGAAAACAGGTTAATGTAAGTGTTTTTCATTTTTGTACTGAATATTAGTGTAAGAAACAAAACATTTACCATCACAGAGGAACTAAGGAGCATATTCAAGAAAAAAAGATGGGGAAAAAACTCTATTCATCTGCTTTGCAAATAGGAGGTGACGCTCACATAGATATAGTTAAAGGTTAGTTTAGAAAGCATTGTTATACATCAACGTTAAGAGTTAAATAAAGAGGGTAATCAGTCCTTACTATATTCACTTGAAGAACCGAAAAACCCAAGCAGTCCAAATCCACAGCAGGATAGAGATATCACACCAGAAGCTAAGCCAAGATTAGCGGATAGAAATGATAGAAAGCGCAAAATGTCTGATCGTGAAGCAAACGTTCAGACTGGTAAGTTAGAGCGTACAATCTTAATTAGATTTTTTATCCGAACAGACTATGGGTTCAACACATCACCGAAGAGAACGAAATTAAACGGTGAATGTAGTAACACTAACAATACAAATGGTAAGTAAAGTTGATCAATTCTAATAGCACGTACGGACAACAGTGTTGGAAGTAGCAAACGACATTGACACTAATCAGAATATACGAGATGACGTTAGTGCAGACACTTCCTTGCATGGGAAGCCAGTCATAACAATGGAATGGAGTCAGGATGTAGGTTCACCTAGCAAACGGAAAACACCAAAGAAGGACAGAACCTCGACGGTTAGTGGTAAGTTTCGCCTATTGGTCTCCAATCCATGTTTCATCTATGCCCTGTAGTCAAGAATGTTATTGTGAGCCCCACAGCCTCAACTGAGAAGAGGAGGGTAAGTTACAGCGATACGAATACCAGAAGTGAGACAGACGGTAAGTAAAGTTGATCAATTCTAATAGCACGTACGAACAACAGTGTTGGAAGTAGCAAACGACATTGACACTAATCAGAATATACAAGATGACGTTAGTGCAGACACTTCCTTGCATGGAAGGCCAGTCATAACAATGGAATGGAGTCAGGACGTAGGTTCACTTAGCAAACGGAATACACCAAAGAAGGACAGAACCTCGACGATTCCTGATGAACTTTCAGCAGACAAAAGTGCAACTGTGAATAATGTGGCCACTTTACTGAATACTTCGGCGTCATTATCTAGCGTGGAATTGAGAAACAATATATGTACTTCAAGCAAACTGAATATAAATAGTGGCTTGAATAAACCAGTTACCAGGAAGTCAAAAACCACCGATGCTGCTGGTTGTAAGGTATCTCTGTTTCTTTACTTAAACTTCTGCTTTAGTCAGATACTGTGCGAAGTAGATACTCATTGCGTACCAGAAATTCTTTGCGATAGTTTTGACTTCAGGTTCTTATCCTTTTAGAGCGCTGATGTACTGTTCTTATTAATAAACACGTTGAAAAAGATAGATCAACCTTACGTTTATTTTTATTATGAAGAATAAGCCTTTCGCGGCTCACGAAAATAAATACATATCACTTTCATTATATTAATTAGTTTTGTCTTATACATCAGCCAAATTTTTGTGATATCGACGTATATATTCAGAGACAGAGGTTTCTCTAGGAGGCGGCCATAACATATGTCTTCGTACGCTCCGAGTATTTGATCCCCAGCGAGCCCAAAGAACTCCAGACATTCTATTATAGTCTGCATATTTTCTCCATATAATACGTGAAACTTTCCAACGTGTCTTACATCCTCGTCTCCTCGAAGTAACGATACATCTGCTTAAAATGCGCGTCCAATTGCTATCACGCGGTAATGACGAAATATATAACGTGGCTAAATCCTAGTACAAAATGAGGTAATTACTAACTTACCTTGATTTCTTGCGGTAAAATCGTGTTTTTTCTGATAGCGTTTAGTCTTATGCGTAAGTTGCAAAAATGAGCAGAAACTTGTCTGCGCTTGTAATCACGAATCATAATAGCATCCTGAAAGCCACGACGAACTATGTAGGAATAAATAGCAATGTCACAATCTACTTTTCCGTGCGGAATATGCGGGGTAACCACATAATTCGTTTTTTAACAGCTTTTCGATTTCTGGATTATTATGATGAGCTGGTGTCTTAGCAGGTGTTATTTCACGCTGGTATAGTATTTCCGATGGTATTAATGGTGGGATGGACAGTGATCGCATTTTACTGCACAAACTGTTGATCAAACCACAGTTTGGTTTTATAATCAGTGGTTTAAATAAATTCATCTGTAGGAAGAAGTAGAAAAGAACACTTATGTCGAAGTAACTTTGCAATTGCGAATGATAATTGCAGCTATGAATCTGGTAAAGACCAGCAATATATTTGCCCTAGAGATTGAGACAGACAATCTAATTTCCAAAAAAAACTATATACAGATCCGATAGGATACGAACAGCATATTGTTTTTGTGAGCTGAATTGCAGGTCATATCTATTTCGAGATTACTGATCCCGCTCAATGTAGATGTTTGGAGGGGGACTTTAAGTACATAAATTTAAAGTCCACATATTGATGACTTAAACTTCACCTCCCTGACTTAACGCAACGCATGACAGACATACTTCATAATAAACAGCTACGTAGTTATACAACCCTTGATGGGTGCGGGAATGTAACACATGATTATAATTATATGTATGCGAGTGACTCATTAAAATAGTTGTAATAACAAGTGGACTGTCACACCAAATGGATGGTTAGGTAGTGCAGCTTGAACGTTTGAGTGTACAGAACAATGTGCGTACGACTTAATTATTTACGCCACTGGTCAATGTATAACGTTACCTGAGGGGGAAGTAACACAACTAGTTACTAATCAGTTATGGGAAAGTGCAACGTATGCACTTGGTTAGATTTAAGCGATTTTGCAGAATATATAAAACTGATGATGTCTATAATAGAAGATAAATTGCAGTTTACTAGCAATGTCCTCTTGGGCGTCCCGAATGATTACATAGAATGGTTGAAAGGTCTGTAGTCGAAAATGCGTGACGTGTAAGGTCTCATCTCTTTCTATGGTCAATTCTAATGTCACGCACCTTTTCCAGCCACTGGTCTCGCAATTAGATCCGCTAGTTAACTATAATAGTTTTGCGAAAAGAGAAGTCTGACAACATGAAATCGTAAGTTTAGAGACGTCTTCCACTTGAAAAGCACAATTGGTTCATGATTAAGTATATGGATTAGCAGGAATCGAAAAGATAGTTTTATGTTAGAATACTCTGAGGCAGATATAATCAACTTGTGAGCTACATTGGACTTCGTGATATATGGAAACACCCGTTATGCTACTGACAAGTCATTTTATGCCTGATACAGTGGAGATGTCATAATGTCACGATGTACTGAGTTTAATGCGAGTATTACGGTATGTACTTCATTACGTGACTAAGGAAGATAGGAGACTAAATGTTTTTGTTAATACAGCCATCAAGAAATTAGTTATACACGACGTGGCCGGAAAGTTAGGCGCAAACCGATACACAAAGGGATTGATAGGCTTACTGGGTTCTGTCAAATAAGCTAATCTGATTCTAATTGTAAGTGGGAATTAAGATTACACCTTGTTCGGTCGTTCGTTTCTTCATGGAATGAGCATGTGCGGATATCCGATTCCCAAGCAAAACTGAAATGGGTTTATTGACCCATCTGATGTCATTAATTATCATATTCTGAAATCCATCTTTAATTGCCTTTGATTCTTATAATGCTGTGAAAAATAGCGGGCCTATAATGGGAGATATAAAACAGGTGTTGTAATGACTTTAAAGCCTTTTTTGTTGACAGAATTAGCATGACTTTATCTGGGTGTACGTTACTTGATGTGCAATCTCAAGTCCTGAATACAAAATATGAGGACAAAGGCCATAATGACATAGACTAAGTGCGATAGAAGGTTGGTAGAACGCAGCACAATTTCGCACGAAAATATGTCGTTTTGCGCTGTACAATGCGTATTAATAAGGGTGTTGGGACACTGTTACTGTTTTGTTAACAAGAATCTAATGGCTTGATGGAATTTACTTTCGTGAACTGAGGGATTCCCATAGGCACATCCTATATTGAACAAGCGACATTCAGGAGCACATTTTGATATAGAAATCGCCAAAATACAAGTGAAATAAAACTCAAACAGGTGCGCGGAACGATACTAGCTGTCAGTGGAAGTGCACTTTCAAAGTATCTTCAAAATTACCTCTTGTTTAACGAGTTGAAGAACAGCAGGAGTATAACTGGTGTACGGTGAGACTACATTGTATGGACGAAGAATTTTGACCTAAGATCGTGCCTTTCGAATTTATACGCATAGTGTGCATGGCTGATAAATTGTGAGGAGAAAAGAAAATCTAACTCCTTAGACTTCCACAACCTCCTATTACTTCACCCTTATGAAGACAAAGTAGCTCAATAAAAAGAAGTTGGGAGTGATGTTACACCAACCTGAAAATGTGACCGACCTTCAGAGGTCTTACAATATTCAATGTCATTTTTTACAAATACAGATGGTTCAAATGGTTGTGGACGGAATAAAAGCTTTTGCTTAACGGGCTTCCATGTCTAGTAGCAGCGGATCGCCAATACCTAACGGCAGTAACCTAGGTATATTAACGATAATAGGAAAAAGAGTAATCGATAAATCATAATAAGATGTTATTCTGAGTCCTTAAGAATAGGTCAAGGTTCCTCTTGAAGGACTCCTGGAAAGTCGCTTGAACTAACTTAGTCGGCAGCGAATTCTAGCATTTGACGACTCTTGAGTATTAGGAGTTGTGTCTACAATCCGTTCTGCTATGTTGGGTCTATAGTTTCTGGATGTTACCCCTTAGGTTAGTATTGTGAGTGAGCTTGAGTAGATGTTTAAGGGGATGACCAGAAGTGTTAAGGATACTGTGAGCCATAAGAAGGTCACCTCTAAGACACCTGTACTCTAACGGGTAAAGGTTAAGTGATTGGAGGCGCTTTTCATAAGGTTTGAATTTGAGTCCCCGAACTGATTTCGTGGCTCAACATTGGATACGTTCCAGAGTGTCTTTATCCTTTTGGAGAGAGGGAGGAAATACTGTTTCCGTACTCTAAATAGGGACGAATAAAACTGTTGAATATTATGTGGAAAGTTCTACCGTCAAACTGGCCAAAAATGCGCTTCAATAATACCAGTGCATGGTTTGCTTGAAATGCGTTTTCGTCACAGCTAGCATACGACTTCAAGTCGTAGGGTACCAACACTTTTAAAACTTTCTCGACTAGGGAAACCTTCAGAGAGGATTTTCCTAAATTGTAACTATAGTCTGCTTTGAAGTCGAGTAAGATCCTCCTGAAGTGCCAGAATATCCTCTTGATGGCATATCTTTCTCCAAAGTTTCACATAATCATCAGAAAGCAATAAGTCAGACGATACTTGTTGTGGAAGATCGTAAATATATCTAGAAGAGAAGAGGTCCTAGTATTGAGCCCTGGAGGGACCCCACCAAGTGAAGTTAACCCTGACCTTAAAATGTCGATTTTTTAGACCTGAAACGAGCCAGTCAATTAGAAGTGGTTTGATACCCAATCGTTTAAGCTTATTGATGAGACATGTATGGTTGACCCTATCGAAAGCTTTTGAGAAATCAAGGTAAAGGATGTCAACCTTCCCCTTACGATCAAGGATGCTTGTCCATTTGTCCGCCGCAGTCAGCGGGTTGGTTATACAAGAGTGACTCTTCCTGAAACCATGCTGTTGGGATGAAGAGAACTTTAGGGATAACAAACAGTCGTGTACACCGTCGCATATCTGGGACTCCATAATTTTAGAAGGTATAGAGACAAGGATCACCGGTCGGTGGCTTGAGGGTTCGCTGCGTCGACTTCCTTTGAAAATTGGTGTGATGTGAGCCAGCCTCCAAATTTCCGGTAGTTTACGTTGGCTTGGCGAGTATGAAAACATCGCGCTAAGCGGTGTTGCCAGGATTGAAGCTGCTTCCCTCAATATAGCAGAATGAATCATATCCGGACCGGGAGAAGTGTCTTTTCTTAGGTGCTGCAGTTTACGGAACACCAGGTCAGCGCTCAGGTCCATTTCAGAAAGTCCTGTGCAGTTGCGGGTGAAGCTCTCATCAGTGTACTTGATGTCGATGTTAAAATGTCCGAGAGTAATGTTCAGCCAAAATATTAGCGGCATCCCCGTCGTCATTGGTCGGACCATTGGGACTTATCACTTAGAAAACTCGTTTTGGCTTGTCGAGGAGAAGCTGCATGACGGAACAGGGTTTTCGGATTGGAGACAAATTTATCTTTAAGCTTGGTCTAATACTGAAGCCTGTCTTCTCTTATTGCCTTTGTGCATATGTTTCTTATATGTTTGTATTGCCTGTATGCGCCGTTGTTATCAGTTCGTTTATATTCAGCCCAGCAGTGCCTCTTGCGACTTAGCAAGCGAAGAGTGTGGTTCTTGATGATTGTAGGCTGTTTGTAGCTTTTTGGGACCGTTTGAGGAAATGAATGCTTAGTAGCACATAAGAGCGTGTGCAGTAAGAAATCCCAATGAAAAACTACTTCAAGTTGAGGGTGACCATCCCAATCCACCTGTTGTAGATAGTCTTGTAAAGCTGATACATTCAATCGTCGAAATTCCTGCGCCTGTTGTCGGTAAGATATCATAACTCTGTTTTGGTGACAAAACTGAAGGATATAACGGCGTTATCACTTTTCCCCATTGGAGCCAGAATTGAGAGGTCGTCGACTAGGAATTCTTCATTTGTGAATACCCAGTCTCAGCGAGATGGCGTCCGACTGTTTCTTCAACGAGTTGCAGACTTCACATCTTCGAATAATCCCAGATCATCAATGATGTTGAAGAACCGAGCTTCAGAAGAGTTTTCACCTCAAGTATAGGTATGTTCTGTGAAGTTGACTCTACGAAGATTGAAGTCCCTTAGAATCAGGATATGAGAAAATCTGAGACGCATAGAGCGAGTTAATACTTCCAGCAAACGATTGTCGTACTCTATGCCAGCAGTGAGTTTTCTATACAAAACCCCAGTATTAAGTTTTGTCAAATTCGGAAAGAATAGGTCACTGGGTGATCTGTGTTGATCCTAGCAATAACCTTCACTTATCTTATGCAAATTTATTCTGATGGAGCTTAAATCATGTGTTGAGGTAACGAGTTACATTCTTCGATGATTCGATGGGAAAGTTGAAAAATACGTTTTAAGGTCTTGCAGACTTTTCTTGGAGTGTCCCCCTAAATTTCCTGTCTTTGGAAGCAGGGAAAACGAAGGCGTATCAGATACAAATTTATCATGACGTAATTAAAAACTGAGAAAATCATCCCGAGACCATCTTCGTATAATAGGCTTATCGCCATACAATAGCGTCACGACTGAGAAACTCGGTTTGTTTATTGTTTTTTAACCCCTTTCCAACAGCTCTCGCGTTTAGGAGAAACGAACACTTTGTAGGAAGCCATGAAGGTTATAACATCAACATGACTACAGGCTCTACGTATTGACCATAGGATTTTACAACCCTAAACGGCCATCGCACGGTAGTGTGAATTCATTTTCAAGTCTTCGCTATCGATGACTCCTAGGTCATTGTGTCTAGACAATTTCATTCACAATATAGTTATCCACACACTATAGGCATCACAATGCACTTAGAAGCATTTATTAGCAACTGCCGAACCCAAGATCATCCGGATAATCTCTGCAAAACATTTTGAATCTAAGCAATCACCTCCGTTTTCATCATTTTCCATATCATAATATCGTCAGTATATAAAAAAGCCGATGATGATAGTAGACTATTAAGGTCATTTATAAACAGAAAAACAATGACATACTTAAATTAGTTTTTTCACTGATGCTTCTTGGTATGAATGTACAGTTTAAATCCTTTGGTATCGAGTAATATGAAAAGTGTAGCTACTTTATGACACCATCCCCAGAGAATTCGATAGTTATTTCAAGGCTAATTTGCCTTGAGTACTAGCCATAAAGTTTCTTTCAATGGGAATAGAGTTACAAAAACAAGGAGGTATAAAATTACAAAGTGATTGATTGTTGATAGTGTGAGGAATTTATAAATTAGAATAGCAAGAGGTCGAGAACAGCCATATCAAGTATGTAGATAAATACATTTGTTACTCTCTAAATAAATAAGAAAACAAACCAGTGAACAAAAGGGGAAGAAATGGCGAATGAAAGGCGGATGATTGCACACCATTTGATGGACGGAGTTCCTATTAAAATTAGTAGTATAGGAAATGTGAGTTATGAAAATGAGAACCTAATAAAACAAAATTTGTATAAAGCCCTGGAAAAAAAGAGGCATATGTTATTTAGAGACTTATGAAATGTAAAGTGAGGGACGTTTCTATTAAAGTATTTCGTAAACCAGCTCTCCTATCTCATACCCACGAACAAATGCAGACGAAGATAGCAAATGTAGCAGCAGCCTCCGCATCGATAGGCCTCCACATTCACAAAGGAAAAAGCAAGATTCTCAAATGCAACACGGAGAACACCAACCCAATCACACTTGATGGCGAAACTCTGGAAGAGGTGGAAACATTCACGTACCTGGGGAGGATCGGATGCAGATGTAAAGGCGAGGATTGGCAAAGCAAGGGCAGCATTTCTACAATTGAAGAATATATGGAACTCAAAACAACTGTCAACTAATTTCAAAGTCAGAATCTGTAATACGAACGTCAAGACAGTCCTACTGTACGGAGCTGAAACGTGGAGAACTACTACGACCATCATCAGGAAGGTACAAGTATTTACCAACAGCTGTCTACGCAAAATACTCAACATCCATTGGCCGGATACTATTAGCAACAGCGTTTTATGGGAGAGGACAAACCAGCTTCCAGCTGAAGAGGAAATTAGGAAAAGACGTTGGAAGTGAATCGGACACACATTAGGGAAATCACCAATGTGCATTACAAGACGATTCATAACTTGGAATCCGGAAGAGAAGCGGAAAAGAGAAAGGCCAAAGAACGCATTACGTTGGGAAATAGAAGCAGATATGAAAAGGATGAATAACAACTGGAAAGGATTACCCAGGACAGGGTTGGGTGAAGAATGCTGTTGAGCGGTCTATGTCTCTTTACGAGGGGTAGCAGGCGCAAGTAATTCCGTAAATATATATATATATATATATATATATATATATATATATATACAATCTATAACAAGAGGGACAACGATAAGTAGGAATAACTCAAATCATTTTAATGTCATCAAAAATAAATGGCAATTGTAGCAATACGAAAACGGAGAATCTCAAGCAGTTTTAAGCGAAAAGGGATTTTTTTGATATTGTGAGATATATTTGTACAAAAGTCTATTTTAGGCATTGATTGTTGTTGTTTGTATACATTTTTACATTTCCATCTGTTTAATGCGAAAGAAACACAAAAAGGAAGGTTTGTTGTTCGATTAATCTACAGTTTGTCCAGTGTC